TTTTTTTTTTTTTTTTGGTTTTTCGAGACAGGGTTTCTCTGTGTAGTTCTGGCTGTCCTGGAACTCACTCTGTAGACCAGGCTGGCCTCGAACTCAGAAATCCGCCTGCCTCTGCCTCCCAAGGCTTGCGCCACCACCGCCCGGCTAAGCCCATGGACTTTTTTTTTTTTTTTTTTTGGTTTTTCGAGACAGGGTTTCTCTGTATAGCCCTGGCTGTCCTGGAACTCACTCTGTAGACCAGGCTGGCCTCGAACTCAGAAATCCGCCTGCCTCTGCCTCCCAAGTGCTGGGATTAAAGGCGTGCGCCACCACCGCCCGGCCTGCCTATGGACTTTTAAGGATTATTTTTATCACAATTTAAAAATTATATGTTCTAGGATGAGACTGTAACTCAATGATAAGACACTGGTCTAGTAAGGCCCATGTTCTGTTCCCAAACAAATAAATGCTTTTCTATTAATGAAATAACATGTTCTCATGTTCACAACTTATATTACTGAGGTCAACTTTGGGGAAAATTCCATAAGAAAGTATCTGAGCCTCATTTTTAACATCAATAAAAGTATCCGACAACACACACACTTTAACCAACAAGCTTCTGTAAATGGACTACAGTGTACCGGTCAGTGTAACCTTATCACCTTATGAAGGTGGGAGATACACATGTCTAAAACAGACTTATCAATCAAGTAGGCTAAATCCGCCTGCCTCTGCCTCCCAAGTGCTGGGACTAAAGGCATGCGCCACCACAGCCTGGCCCATGTATTAGTTTCGTTAACAAATATATCTTAACATAGAAAAATCTAGAACAGCACATGAAACCATTAAGCAGTTCTGAGTATAAAATCAGAATATGTTTTTTTCTGGGACATGTTTCTATACTGTCTAATTCTCCTTAATGAACATATTTCATGTTTATAAGCAGAGTGAACAGTGAAGATCAGGGGGCCCTGAGTCAGGAGACAACTGTGACAAGGGTGGGACTCCAGATCCACTGCCATGTTGTCCTGGTTTTGAGGCTGGGTAATGAAACTTGGACAGAGTCAAGACCAGGTAAAGGATAGAACCTAACATGATTCTAATATATTAGAATCACCTAACATAAATCACCAGCCAAGGCCAAGTGAAAAAGACTATAGCCTACCCAAAAAACAAACAAACAAAAAACCCAACAACAACAACAACAAAACAACCCTATAGTCTATCACGGTTTTTGTTTTCCTTATGTTTTTGGATATATAGTCACTTCAATTAAATTAGATGCTGAGAATCCTGGTTTCTTCTGTTAGCTTGATGCTATATCTAAAAAATTTAAATTATGTTTATTGTGGTGGGTGGGTAGGTGTGTATCACAGGGCATGGATGTAGAAGTTAGATGACAACTTGCTGGAGAAGTCAGTTTTCTCCTACTATCTGGTCTCGGATATGAATCACGGGTTCCCTGGCTTAGCGGCAAGAGTCTTTACCCACTGCTCTGTGTGGGTATTTTTAGATGCAAATCCACGTGCACTTAGTTAGTTGAGTATTTTGCAACTGAGCCTTGGCAGATCAGATACCATTCCAAGAAGACTATGTTAAAAATGCAGTAACTCTACTTATACAACATGTATCTGGGTTGATCTCTAAATTGAAACATCTGTATGGATGGTCCAGTCACATTAGCTAGACTTTGGCCTGAGTCCTTGATTCAAAGAGCAGAGAAAAGAGAACAGCCATTATTCATGAACTCACACAAGAATCTGCAAAAAAGAAAAAAAAATAGTATTCACATAACATAGGAGAATCAGTTTTCAGAAAGGTAAAAGTGTATGCTCTAAAAGGAATATGAAATGTTCACTCGTTAGAAGACACAGAGTAGTAACAAAATGTTGGCTGGTAAAATTGAACCCTGGATGGAGGGCTGAAGAGATTGCTCAGTGAGTAAGAGCATTTGCTGTTCTGGCAGAGTCACCCATGCTGGGAGCTCACACCACCTGTAAATGCAGCTCCAAGGGATATGGGGGCCTCTTCTGGTACCTTCACACACATGGCATATACACATAAATAAAAATAAATCATTAAAACTAGGTTACAAAATTTTATAACTTTGGACTGGAGAGATGGCTCAGCAGTTACAAGCACTGATTGCTTTTCCAGAAGACTCAAGTTCAATTCCCAGCACCCACATGTTGGCTCATAACCATCTGCAACTTCACTTTCGAGGGATTTGGTGTGTCTCTCTCTCTCTTTGTGTGTGTGTGTGTGTGTGTGTGTGTGTGTGTGTGTGTGTGTGTTGTGTGACAGTGAACAGCAAATGCATAGCCTTTTGAGTCTTCTGCAAGTGCTAAACCACTGAACTACACCATGGGGCCCAAAAAAAACTGGTTTAGAGTACTTGTTGCTCTTGTAGAAGACCCAGGCAGGGTTCCCAGCAACCACATGGTACCTCACAGCTTCTGTAACTCAAATTCCATGGGGTGCTCTTCTGACCTCTGCACTGTACACATGTGGCATAGTCACACACGAGCAAAAACATTCATACCATAAAATGATAATATTTTAAATTAATTTTTTAAAGATTTATTTTATTTTTATGAGTACACTGTAGCTGTTTCCAGACACACCTGAAGAGGGCATCAGATCCCATTACAGATGGTTGTGAGCCACCATGTGGTTGCTGGGAATTGAACTCAAGACCTTTGGAAGAGCAGTCAGTGCTCTTAACCGCTGAGCCATCTCTTCAGCCCTTAACTTAATTAATTAAAAAATAAAATCTATGACTGGACATATCAATCTGCCCCTATAATTCCAATACTCAGGAGACTGGTTAGGTTAGTAGCGCTCACAGCAAGCCTGAGCTATATATTGAGAACCAAGAAGAGGAAGAAGAAGAAGAAGAGGAGGAAGAGGAGGAGGAGGAGGAGGAGGAGGAGGAGGGAGAGGAGGAGGAGGAGGGGAGGAGAGGAGGGGGGAGGAAGGGAGAGAAGGAAGGAAGGAAAGAAAGAGAAAGAGAGAGAGAAAGAGGAAAAGAAAAAGTAAAGAAAATCATGTCTCAAAAATCAAAATGGCAGCCCAGGTATGGTGGAACACACCTTTAATCCCAGCACCAAGGAGGCAGAGGCAGGTGGATATCTGTGAGTTCCAGGACAGCCAGTAGAGAGCCTCTGTAGCAAAACAAACAAACAAAAATCAGTGGGTAGAAGGTAGCTGGAGAGATGGCTCAGTGGTTAAGAGCACTTGCAATTCTTGCAGAGGACCCAGACTTATTTCCCAGCATCTACATAGCAGCTCTCAACTGTCTGTAATTCCAACTCAAAAGCATCTAATACTTTCTTGTGGCCTTCACGGACACCAGGCACACAAATGGTGCATGTACATCCACGAAGGTTAAAATATTTGTACACATAAAATTAAAAAAAAATGCTGGGCCCGGTAGTATACACCAGTAATCCCAGAGACTGAGGCAAGAGGATAGCTAATCTGAAGTCTGCCTGGGTTTCATAATGAGTTCAAAGGCAGCCTGAGCAACCTAGTGAGCTCCTGCCTCAAAGCTTAAAAAGCAGATGGCACAGCTCTGGGGTAGCACACATGAGTCTCTGGGTTTAATCCATAGTACTGAAAAACAAACCTCAGTGTATTTTTATACAAATATAGAAACCTGAGCAGACTGATGGACTATGAGGTTAAAATTCCTGATTCCCAAGGACATGGTGGGTATGGATGCTGGCAAGACCTGTTTGTCGCACATTCTGCTGTTATTCTCTAGATGAATAAAAAGGAAGCATTTCTTCACTCTTAACTTGGCGATGGAGATACGGTAGGGGGATATTTGTCTTCCTAGTACAAGTAGAAGGCCCTCTCCCTTCCTCTAACATGACCAATAGCCTTGCACTGGCCTATCCCCTCCAGGGCAGCCACAGTGTGCTGCTGAGCAGCCTTGTGAGGCCTAGTTGCCTGGAAAATGCGATTTCTATCTTATCCACTGAGAATGTCACCAAGTCTCAGTCTAGGGTTCTTCTCCTCCTAAGAGAATCGAGTGGACACCGCTACTTGAAAGCTGGACTTTTGGGGGTTGCACTGTTCCATACATTCATAGATAGATGGGTTCTGCCTACGAGAAGCGTTTCATTCCATGTTGCTTCTCCTCTCATCTCAGAATAAGACAGAACAAAGCAGCTAAGGTGAAGAGGCAGTCACTTCCTGGAAGGAAAACTAGACTCCATTCTTTCCAAGCTCTTCCCTCCACCCAAAAAGCCTTGCTTCACATCAGAAGTTCAGCAGGACCCACAGAGCTCTCTGCTCCAAGGGACCCAGGTGTGGACAATCCAGGTAGAGAAGGCAAAGTCCAGGGAGCCATAGGGAAAACAGAAAACTCTGCCCCATTCCTCTACTGCCTTCCCATCCTTACAAAAAACCTGGGTGCCGGAGCAGAGTATTGTAATTATGGCTCATTGAAGAGGATACAATACACAGAAATTTTTGCCCCATTCAAAGCCATCCTAGAGAAATCTGGGAACTGAGAACAAGAGGTGCACAGGCAAGGAAGGACAACAGCTTAGGCTTGGGGCAGAGGAGGGGGAGGAGGAGGAACAGGAGGAGGAGGGGAGGGAGGAGGAGGGGGGGGGGGGAAGAGGAGGAGGAGGAGGAGGAGGAGGAGGAGGAAGAGGAGGAGGAGGGAAACTCACTGTTTGTCAGCATCTGCAGGTCTTCCACAGAGGGAGGAGAGGATTTCTTCTCATAAGGGATGACTGTGTTCAGATACTGCCAAGACAAACAGGGCATGCAGAGTGAGTCATGGTCCCTCTTGGGTTGAGGCGCAGTGGGCAACCTGAACCTGGACCAAGCTTTTCACCATATTCTGGGTAACACTCACCATCAGTAGAACACTGTTAGTTTAGAGCCTGCTTCCCCTTCTTTATGTATATCTCTAAAGTAGGCTTTCCTGAATTCAATGGGGAAACTTCCACTACTCCAACTTCTACATTCTTAATATGCTAAAGTCTTTTCGGTTCTCGGAATCCTAGGAGTGTTTCTCCTCCTTGATGATAACTGGGGCAGTGTGTACAGTTTTATTCTTCACCATGCCATTTGGGAAGAAATTATTTCTTTCTTGTCAAAATGACATATCTACCTGAGATCTTGATTGTCAAATTTGCTCTCTCCTACAACAAAATAAGCCCTGAGGTACCCAGCCAGTGGGCATCAAAGACCAGTAGGCCACAGAGATCTTGTCAGGCTCCTGGGGAGCCCTAAATGAGAAGCAGGAGATCAACAAGCCTGGGATTGTAGTTTGGCCCCTGTCAGCGGCCGAGAAGCCCCAGATGGCTGCCCTATGATTCTGGGCCTCAGTTCTCCCAGGAACAGGAAGAGCTGGTTAGATGTTCCTAGTCTTCCTGGCTATAGCCATATAGTTTTAACCCTTAGGATTCAGCCTTGACCATTAAAACAGCATTTATACTTCTCAATGATTTATTCCACATTTTCAAAGTTTTCAGTGCACACACTGTGCACACACACACACACACACACACACACACACACGCAGTGCACATACTGCCAAGTCTATTAGATTTTGTACCCCATGAGGGGAGGTCCAGGGGCCCTCACTTCTGCACCTTGAAGACCTAGCAACAGATCACATCATGTAACAGGCAGTTGTCAAACTCTGCCTTAGTAACCAAAAGTGTGAGCCACATCACAGATTCTGTTGTTTGGATGTAATGTGTCCTCAAAAGGTCCATATGCAAAGCCTTGTTTCCCAGGGTCATGGTACTGGGATGCACTATGGTCCTTTAAGAGGACTTATGCAGCCCTTAAAGGATATTGCACATTCTCTTTTGACTCCTTATGTGCCCTGCCCCATTCTGTCTCTGTCTCTTCTCTCTGTCAAGTTTGACGTGGGACTGCTGGTTACTACAAACACACTCATATGATGTTACCATCGCCAAACCACTGAGGACACCCAATAAAAATAAATAAGTAAAACTTTGTTCTTTCAAAAGTTAATTGCCTTGGGTATTTCATTGTAGTACTTCAAAGCTGACTGCCAGTTACTGTCAAAATGGAGGCAAGAGAGTGCCACGGTGTGACTTAGACTTACTGTCAGAGCTGGAGATTAGGCTCAGCTGGCCATCAAAAAGACAGCGGAGTAGACTCTCAGATGTGGTCTGTTTTGAAACAGATCACCCCCACTGTACTTTATTCTTAAGCAAACGAATTCAGAGAGCTACATTTGATCCTGAGTTTTAAGTTTTATCCTTGTCCCAGGATAAAAGACCTAAAACAAAAATAATGACAGCAACAAAAATATTGACATTTGAAAGACATTACCGGGGCTGGAGAGATGGCTCAGTGGTTAAGAGCACTGACTGCACTTCCAGAGGTCCTGAGTTCAAATCCCAGCAACCACATGGTGGCTCACAACCATCTGTAATGAGATCTGATGCTCTCTTCTGGTGTGTCTGAAGACAGCTACAGTGTATTCATATATAATAAATAAATAAATCTTTAAAAAAAAAAGAAAGACATTACCTTTATCTTCCTTACAAATGAGATAAAACGTTAGGGAACCTCAGGCTGGCCCAAATTTTGGGATAACTCTGGTGAGTCTCCATCACCCTCTTCTCTGGTGAAGAAATGAGCTGCTAGCTGTCTGTAGGGATAAAGGAGGTAACCAACTGCACATACCTGTCTGTCGGCTCCTGAGGAGCCAAAGGTCTGCCGGATGCCGCTCTGCAGGATGTTGGAGATACCTTCCATGCTGAAACGCTAAGGAGGAAATACACTCAAGAAGGGCGAAGGCTTCCTGCCCCGATGTCACCACCCCAGGGACTTCTATGTCCTTGCTCAAATGCTCATCGGCTCTCACACTGCCCTCCATAAGTGGCAAACGTAGAGAAGCCAAAATGTAAGCAAGACTAGATAGCAGTCTAGAGACTCTCTTGAGTCCCTCAAGGTTATAAGATCTTTTTGTCATCGCCAGACTTCTTCATTTTATCCTGTATCATGTAAACAGAAAAATAAGACAGGGCAGCACAATTCTGGGGAACTACGATGCAAAGACCTTAGTGGGAAGTAGAACATGCTGCTTCCAGGAAGTGTAGGCTTCTAGAAGTGGCCTGGCACAGGAAATCTTTTCTTCAAGAGGAACATGGCCCAGGGCTAATTTAATAAGTCTTTGATAGAGCTAGGCAAAGATGCATTGAAAAAGCAAATTAGGTAATACTATGGACTTCACCTAATCAAGAACCAATGAGCCATCTGGTCATTTTAAGCCATTCAAATAGTCCAGCAATGTTCTACACCTGCCCCAATGAGGCCAGACTGGACAATAACGCATGCCAATGGTACAGATACTGACCCTGGTCTAGTTTTTCAAGGACCAGTCTGAAGAACACAGGTCATATGTAATTACTCTTTAATTTTTATTCAGTATATTCTCTACTTAGACCAGAGGCCTTCTGGGAAGTCAAGGAGAAAGGTGGTATTCCCTCCCTTCCTGACCCCACTGTCTGTCACAGGGTTCTTTATACACTTATTACCCAGTAACTGTTTAGGGGTCCACTGCAGGGTAGGTAGCAGGAGATGTGATGGTTAGGGCTCAAGGTTGGCTGAGTCTAGACTTCTGGTGGCTCATGTACCTTGAGAGGCATCTGGTTTCCCTTCTCTATCCGATTGCTCTGCAGGCTTAACCCCTTCTCTTTCCGCCTCTTCTTCATCAGTTCCCGCTGCTCCTTCTGCTTGTTCTGAACCTCAATGAGCACCGTGATGAAGGAGTTCTTCACTTCCTTCTCAAACTCCAGCTCGTCCCTGCGGGCCAGCTGGTGAACCAGCTCCTCGGAGAAGTCACGGATGGCACCCTCCACCTGGTCCAGCAGCTCTGTCAGCTCAGACCCAGACATGTGTCTCAGCCCTAGAAAGGAAGATGGATTTCGTAAGTGATACCTACAGACAGGCATGAACCTGCCAGAGATGGGACTGTTCTTAGAGAGGCCCCTTCAGCTGGGCAGTGGTAGCACATGTCTTTAATCCCAGCACTTGGGAGGCAGAGGCAGGTGGGTTTCTTCTTCTTTCTTCTTCTTCTTCTTCTTCTTCTTCTTCTTCTTCTTCTTCTTCTTCTTCTTCT